GTTTCAAGTGTGCTTGGTGGGCAACATTAAAAATATTTTTAGAATATTAAAAGGGAATCTCTTTAAACGAATCATTTAGGATTCGGTAAGAAAATTTGTACCTACCTATCGAGACTATAAAAATGCAATTATACGATTTCTGTTTCTCATCTGAAATATTATGTAAACGTTTTCATAAGCTTTGTCAGAATGTTTATGTTAATGACTTAAAAACATTTGCCCCCTCCCCGCTGTTGGTTCGAATCCCGACGGGAACTTTGGCTTCTTTCATGTGAGGTAATTACTCAGTTAGCATACTGAACGCCGGAGGTTCTACTCAATTACCCGTTTGTGCCTGAAATAATGCTCGAAGCAACTGGGGTCTTCCTTCAACAGTAAAGCTGGAAAATTTCCATATGATATCTACTGTGTTAGCGCGACGTATATAACAAAAAAACGACTTCTGTTGTTCAAGTAGAAATGACACTTTTTACAGGCAAAGCACGCTTCTTGAATTTATAAATAGATCTATATCAAGTTTATATTTTCCCATCAAAAAGTATAATTACCTCTCATATTATTTCTTGGTATATTAAATGTCTTATATTAGTTTGATTCTACACGCAATTTTGCAATTTCTTCTTTGCTAGTTATGTGGGTTTTTTTAACCTGCGTGATTCGTCTTAATGACCTTGCAAAGTTTAAATAATGTTGAAATGCCATGATGATAATTTTATAACGATTTTGTTTGTTTGTTTGGATTTTATGGCACGTCAACACATAAATGGCCATATCGTGCCGAATGCTAAAATAGGCTTAAACTATTATGTAAAACGTTGTAAATAAAAATAAAAAAGAGCAAATCAGATCTTTGAATATAAGTTTATCTCTTTCAAATAATCGATGATGTTTTTTGATGGAATTGTATTAAAGAGTTCTTTGAGTGAGTTTACATTATAAAATCTGTTACGGGCCTGTGAAAAATCATGACATTCCAGAAGAAAATGCTTGACAGTAAAATTTTCATTACAGCCTACACAGAAAGGGGCATTGTCATTCGTGAGGAGATAAGAATGGGTAACTTTAGTGTGTCCAATTCGGCATCGAAGAAGAACTGTTTGATCATGGCGGTTTGACAAAGACAGAGATTGTGACACATCAAGAGATGGACCCAATCAAACCGAGCCTGCAACATTTTCAATTTTGCCGTGTTGGGCTTTCTTTAGGGATTCTGTATTCATCTATTTTATATCATGAAGTTTATTAAAGACGGCATTGTCCCAATTTGCTTTCCATTCAGATGAAACGAGTTTATTTATAGCCGTTCTAAAATCACAAGCAGGTAACAATAAGTCAGTTTTTTGAAGATTTAAAGCTTGTTTAGCTAAAGCATCTACTTTTTCATTTCCTCGTATACCTACATGACTTGGAATCCAATATAATTTAACAGATTTTATTTTAAGTATATCATGAAATCGCAAAAGAAGTTTCTTTATCATGATATTGTCAGATTTTTTATTTCTAATGGATATTAAAACAGAAAGCGAGTCAGAAAATATTACAAATTTATCATGGATATGTTGTACTATGTTTGACAATGCTTAATCTATAGCTTTTGCTTCAGCAGTAAAAATTGATGCATTATCTGGTAACCTCATACTAGATGTAAAATCATTTTCATACACAGCAGCACCTACCTTGTAACCTTCCTTTGAACCGTCCGTATAAACATGTATAAAATTTTCATGTTCTTCCTTAATTGCTAGAAACTTCTCTTTGAAATGTTCATGTGAATTTGATGTCTTTTTTATATTTGAAAGGCTAATATTTATTTCAGGGGAATTATTTATAAGTCCAAGGTGGAACATCCTCATCGTCATTTTGAAGGATACTGACAGGATTAATTTTAAGTTTATCTAAATCATCTTTTAAACGAAGGCCTAATGGTTTAATTTCCTTTGGTTTGTTAACAAATTTTTCAATGTAATTTGGTTTGAAAATAATATTTTTGGCTGGATTTTTGCTATTTGATGAAATTCTAGTTGCATATTGAAGTGATAGCTTTTTTCGACGAATTTGAAGGGATGGTTCCCCAGCTTCAGCATATAGACTTTCTACAGGTGAGGTGCGAAATGCACCTAAAGCTAAGCGTAAACCCTGGTGATGTATGGTATCTATCATTTGAAGATATGATTTTCTTGCAGACCCATATACAACAGAACCATAATCTAATTTTGATCGGATAAGACTTCTGTATAATTTCAGTAATGTGGAAGAATTTGATCCCCAATTAGGTTAACATATATTGTTGTGCACGATACTGAACTCTATTGGACAGCTGTGAAACCTGTATTGGACAAGGCGCCTGCAGCTGTATACTGGACGTTCAAGTACAATAAATGTACTTGATAGATTTTGGAGATTTAAAATGAGTACGAAGCTATATGCAATAATATACATGATATATGCTTTTAATATGGATTTGCTGAACTCAGGAAAAGAAAACGAGGCTAATTTGATAAGATTGGATCTAATAATGATTTAAGCCGGTGCTAGGGGGCGTGAGGGATGTTGCACTTATTCATTATGTCTTATGTACAGACTCAATCAAACCGAGTCTGCAATTCTTATGTTATTTTGTTGTGATTAATGCTTCTGAGGGATCACTTTGTTTCCAGAATTTTGTACTTCACAACAGCAGGTGTCAAATGCCGTGTGGCAGCTGTAAAAAGTTGCCCCGTACTTCACTTCAGTGTTGTTATATTTTCTGGTTCTTCGGGATCATTGATGCCAGCACTATAAAGTGTTGAGAATTGAGTACCGCTCAAGCCGGTGCTAGGGGGCGTGAGGGATGTTGCACTTATTTATTATCCCTCATGTACAGACTCAATCAAACCGAGTCTGCAATTCTTATGTTATTTTGTTGTGATTAATGCTTCCAAGGGATCACTTTGTTTCCAGAATTTTGTACTTCACAACAGCAGGTGTCAAGTGCCGTGTGGCAGCAGTAAAAAGTTGCCCCGTACTTCACTTCAGTGTTGTTATATTTTCTGGTTCTTCGGGATCATTGATGCCAACACTATAAAGTGTTGAGAATTGAGTACCGCTCAAGCCGGTGCTAGGGGGCGTGAGGGATGTTGCACTTATTCATTATCCCTCATGTACAGACTCAATCAAACCGAGTCTGCAATTCTTATGTTATTTTGTTGTGATTAATGCTTCCGAGGGATCACTTTGTTTCCAGATTTTCTTACGGAAATATAACATGGTGCGAACGCTAACAGTTAATTGGTTATGTTTTATACGATGTGAAACAAAAAAATGTATTGGAATTCTTTATTACCCATTTTTAAATACATGTACATATTTCATTTTTGTGTTCTTTTATTATTTGCACCGCAATAATTACAAGTACTTTGTAAATAACTAATTTCTTTTTATTTTACGCTTCTTTGGTGATTTTTAGTCATTTGTATTTGTTCAGACCACTCACTCGAAACGTATATATCATACTGAAAAAAATTGATTAATATATAATTGTTACACAGATGATGGCTTTAACTGTTATTATAACGCGTTCTTGTATGGGATATCTAATTTGCAATCTACATAAAATGTCAAGTGTGGCATTGGCTTATATAAGCAGAACAGCAAAAGGTAGCCTAGAAAAAAGAAGTACGTGTATCTTTGATTGGGGGTATATGATTATATAAACCCGCAATAATTTTCTATACTGTATATTTATGTTATCTGTGTTCATAGTTAATCCTTAATATCAACAGAATTGTAGATATTAAAACCCACACGTTGTCTAGTGTTTTACATGTAGACAATTTTCAAAATGATCGATCTATAAAGAATTCTGTTTACTTTTCGGTTGGATTATATACCACATCAACAATGTAACTTTATACGCAAACTTCCCAGCTTTACTGGTGAAAGGACCCCCGTACGAGCAAGAACCGGAGCAGACGTCTTGACATTGCTTTAGCTTACCACAGAATCTAACATTCAAAACTTGTAGATAATAAAATATTGGTACAGAATAGAACATTGTTCAATACAATTTAGGGAACATAAGAAAATGTTTATATTACAGAGAATGTAATGTATAGTTCCGGTACAAAAAAATAGTATAATCATGTAACACAATACACTGCCAATGAAAAAAGACCACATTTGATATTAGGCAAAATTAGATAAACTAACGGATTGTTTGCTCAAGTTCAAAACGTTTACATTAACATGGTCGCCATCTTGGGATATCCACATTTCCAGCATATTTAAATTCTTCACAGGCTTAACTCGAATATGCAAAAAAGAATGAAAACATGTTTATAGAAATTGCAGAAACATCAGATAGAGTTCGTATATAGACGTCATTTTTTGGTTTAACGTTTTTCTGTACAAAGATGAAGTCTTTTTTTTTTTTAAGGAAAACAGGTGTTCTCTACAAACGTTGTCTATTTCCATTTACAATTTATTCATTAAATTCATTTCACCGTGTGAACATAATTGTATTTGGTGGAAATAACTATTGAATTATAATTGCGCTGAAATCAGCATACAGACACTTCTTTGCATATCTGTATGCATAAATATATTTACTTAAGTGAAATGACATTATTTTGATATACAATGTTATCCAAATAAAGTATTGAGCAATATATTTCTAATTTCCAATCAATTTGCGTTACCTTGAAATGCTTAACATTAGCTTCAGATTAAGAAATATTTTAAACTAAAACGTTTTTTTTAATTGTTTGTGTGTGTGTATATGTATGCGTGCGTGTAAGTGCGTACGTGCGGTGGTGCGTGCGTGCGCGCGTGTGTGTGTGTGTGTGAAGATGAAGTCGAAGAAGAAGAAGAAAGAGAAGCAGAAGAAAAAAATCATTCAAAATTAGAAATACCGTATTTAGTATGTCTTTCAAATTATGTTTTTTTACACCCATTATAAAATTTTTATATTTTTTATAATTTAACGCCTTCTTTTCAGAATGTAGGGCGCGTTCCATTCACTGTCTGTAACGTCCAGAACATACAGAATTACAATGGAACAAATCGGCAAAACGTCCAGAACATGTTCCGACCGTCCCCGCAGTCGAGTAGGTGCATCGTGGAATCCAAGATGGCTGACAATGCATTGGACGATAGGTGAAGTAAAATTTCTTACTAGTTTTCGTGCATGTTTCGCGTTATAAGTTGTAATAAGTGGACATGAGTATAAATAGGCTTTTTTTTTTGTTAGAAGAGGCGATTCTGCATACGCTTTTGGTGATGATAAAAAGTACACGTCAAATTGTCACAGGAATTCACGATGAAAATGATGTTGAATTTTAAAAGTCCCAAAATCACCGAGTATTTTCTGAAAATTAAAAATGTTTAACATTTATGTGTCGCCGTTTTGAGAAAATATGCTGGTAAGCCAAAGAAAGTACGGCTATTTTTTAATATGGCGATTAAGTTCAACTTGTATGTTTTATGAATCTATAGAATAGAACATTTTTTTGTTTATGTATCTGGACATCTGATAGTCTTATATGTTTTTCTCCTTTTTTCAGTGAGTTTGTTATCCAGATTGAAGATCCTACTACAAAAGAAAAAAAGTATGTGAAATTATCGGCCGACATGGTAGAGGCATTGAATTCAGCAGGTAAGTATTTACCAAGACTAGGTGATATGATGCTGGCAAGACTCAGTTTTGTCATTCAGAGGTCAAGGTCACAATCGGGAGGTCAAATGTTAAAATAGACCTTGTCCAGTCTGTACCTCCAGCTTGCCTTGAAGAATATTAAAATAATTTGGTGTAAATGTTCACCATGAAGGGTGGTGTGTTGTGTACAAGACCCAAGTTCATCGCTCAAAAGTTAAAAGACATTCCGTGTTTGTAATAAAGTTCCCATGGCAAGATGCTCTCAAAAGTAAAGTGTTGACCTGTTTTTAAAGTTTATATGTAGGTAATAGATAAGCCTTTAAATTTAATGTTGTGTAGAGCAAATACCAGAAACCTTGTAACAAGGCAAAGGATTGTACCTTTTTGTTAATTTAAATCAATATTTATTTTTGTTCCAGATCCAATGAGGCGGCACCATGCCTATGAATTGATTAGCCACACTTGGAAGACAAATCCAGATGATTTTCCAGGTATTATTTGAATATTAAGAAACTTATACAGAGTATTTCAGTTTAGTGTAGAATGAATTTAAATTTTACTGTTTCATGCGCAAGACCTAGACCTCTAGCTCAAAGGTCTAGGTCAAACTTAAAGGTCAAAGGTTAGCAATTAGAAAATCTTGTCCGGCTCATAACTCTGTCATGCATCAAGGGATTTTGAAATAAGTTGGCACAGAAGTCATGCATGATGAGACAGTGTGTCTTGCGCAAGACCTAGATCCCAACCTTCAAGGTCAAGGCCACACTTATAGGTCAAAGGTCATACATCAAAGGATTTTGAAATCAGTAGTCCAATGTTTATAGCATAATTAGAAGGTGTATCTTGCGCAAAGTCACACCAAGAGGTCAAAGGTTAACAGTTAGAAAATTTTGTGGGATTTATATTTCTGTCATACATCAAGTGATTTTAAAACAAGTTGGAACAAATGTTCAAAAATGATGAGATGTTTTGTCATACACACTTGTTATCCTAGCAGTTGTGATAATCTAGGATCACAACTATACTGAGGTTGATCTTGACCATCATATGACCCTAATTTGCAGTTCAACTTTGACATTAGCTTACTTTTATGACAAGGCTGTATTGTTAGGGCAAATTAATAAGTCCTGTGATAGCTCTAGTTGGCAGAATTGGTTAAAATACTGTTTAAAGTGTGTTAAGGAAGAACAACTCTTTATTCATATTTTCAGAGCCAGCAGATAATGAGCCTGAAATTCAACACATAATGGAAGAAGAAAATGTCATATCAGAGGACAGTGAAAAGTCAGATACAAGTGCTTCTTGGAGTAAAGATGCCACACTCCTACTGGTCAGTGAGATGAAAGAAAGAAAAGAGCATATAGATAAAGGATTTACAACCAAGAAGAGGGTTTTCCAGGATATTTCAAAAATCATGTTTGAACACTCTTATTCGTTTAATGCAGACCAAGTAGCAGGACGTTGGAAAACTTTGCAAAGAGGATATAAGAATGTAAAAGACCACAATAGAAGCAGTGGGTCTGGAAAGAAAAGTTATGAATATGAAAGTGTTCTTGATGATTACTATGGCAAAGATCCGATAGTCACTCCAGTAATGACATTAAGCAGTCATAGTGATAATGGTTCAGGATCAGGTTGTAATTCCTCGGATGTTCCAGAAGAAAATGGAGAAGAACAAGTACAAGTAAAGAAAAAGCGTAAGTCAGCCTCAGGTGAAATGGTAGATGTTATAAAGACTTACATAGAAGCCCAAGAAGAACGTCATAAAGATGAAGTTGCTAGGAAAGAAAGAATGCATCAGGAGCGATTAGCACTTATATCAAAATTAATAGATGCAGTGTCCAAAAATAAATAAGGAGCATATTCTTGTGTATTACTTTAGGATTTTGTTCCTATTGCAACTTTTTAATGTTTTGATACATTTCTTTGTCTGTGTTAATACAAAATTATTTGACTCACACTTGAGCCATTGTCAGATAAAGCTATGTCAAAGAAATCTAGGTCAGATTAAAATATTGGTCACCAGGGGTCAAAAAGAAAGTCACAGGTTAACTGATAGAAACATTACTACCATTTTAGACGCCATATTTTTTACCTGAAATAAAAAAGTGACACAGGTGAGCAATTCATGTCCATCATGGCCCACTTGTATAAAAAAATATGTACTGTATTTTCAGGTGAAGGAAACCTGTCTTTACTGGATATGCCAGATGAAATACTTGCCAAGATCTTACTGGATAATGTCAATCAATATGAATTATTTAACTCTTCAAGATTTGTTTGTACAAGATTTGCTGAAGTCATTGCAAGTGGGCTGAATTCTGTGACACTTGCAGAATCTCAGCTTTGTTTAGAACAGTTGAGTTTCTTATTTCTTTGTTCAAATTTGATACACTTGACAGTTGTATATCAAACAGGCAATGTCTGTCGCTCAGCTATAATTGAAAACTTGGAACACTTTAAAGCATTGAAGAATTTGAAATTGGTTGGTCCGTATTTTAAAGATGAAGACATTGCATGCATTTGTAAAAAATGTCCATATTTAGAATATCTTGAAGTTGTTTCCTCTCACTTGTCAGTTGCCCCTACAACACTTAGGCTAGTCATAGATTCTCTTCCAAGGCTGAAGACAGTTTCATTGCCAGTTTGTTCTGGCTGTGATGAAGATTTAGGCAAAATACTTGACTTCTATTATGGTCATGTTTCCTTTGGTCATCAGGTTTTAGATGCTCTTAGTCAAAACGTTTTGCACAGACCAAAATTTGCATATCTTCTTCAGTAGATTACTGATGCAAAATTGCATGTAATAGTTAGTATAAATGTTATGCTTAGCTGTTCACTGCAAGCAGTTAAATACAATGTAATGTGAATGCCATCCCAGAACTGATAAAGGCTACTTGTGTTTTAAGATTCAATAGTTTGGTATAATTCATGCTATGCTTTTGAGGATTGTTTTGTGTAAATTTTCTAAAATGTGCAATGTTAAAGCTAACTGTGTTGTACTATTGTTACATTTTTGGCAGCTGAATGCTTTGTATTTCATATGTATGGGGCACCGTTTTACTATATTATCCATTTTAGTGATATCTCCTATTCGAATAGGTGATATTTCACTAAAATAGGTTGAATAATAAAACGGTGCCCCATACATATATAAGTATGCATTCATCCAGTTATTTTCTTTTCTAGCAAATATATGCTTAGGTAAAGCGCCAGCAGAATAAGTGATTTTACTTACTATTGTAAAATGTTTGACAGTTATATATACTTAGTTCAATGTTTGACAGTTATATATACTTTGTTCTTCAGACATAGTTTGAATTGTTTTCTTTTCTAGTAAAGATATGCTTAGGTATAGCGCCAGCAGGATAAGAGGTTGTACCATTGTAAAATGTTTGACACCTTCAGACATAGTTTGAATTGTTTTATTTTCAAGCAAAGATTTGCTTAAGTAAAACTCCAGCTGAGCCAGTGGTGTTACTATTGTTATGTTTTTTTTATAGTTGTACTTGTATATACTTATTATTACAATACAGATTTTTACTGGCTGTTAAAATCTTCATAGACAAATTAAAAATGACCTTAACAGGCAGCTATCAAAATTTATAGATGTAACAAAAAATCTAGTGGTTTGCCTACACGCAATTTTTTGTAACCATAATACCAAACCAATTCAATTGGAATTACAGATGTTAATGCAAATGTTATTGAATTCTCAGTTTGTACATAAATTACTGATATTACTATCCTTTCACAATTCACTGACTTTTATATAACTGTACAGTTTCTTTTGATTTTGTGTATATTTATGCAAGCTTTCAGGGGATAAACTGATGGAACAGTGTTGAAGCTCAACTTATGTATTATAACTTACTTTAAATTTGATCTCGCTATCATTTGGACTAGTCAAAACTGATCTCTACATTCCAAGGGATTAAAGGATTTATTTTTCTTGTTCATGTTTATTTTTGTTTGAGATGTTACAAATAAAACAATGAAGAAAACGACATTTTTGTGTTTTATTATAATTTTTACTTAGAATTAAATCAGGTGAGCAGCTATAGTGTCCCTCTTGCGAACTCCTTCAGCATTATCCTGTAAACAAATGGGATTTAAAACAGGATTTGATATGTTGGCATCTTCTAAAAAGTCATTCACAGCATCGTGGTTTACAAGGCATATATTATGGAAAATGCAACTGCACATTATAATACTAACTGCAGTCCTCACACATGTATCAATGTACTTCATACGCCTAAATCTGCCTTTAAGTAAGGCAAAAGCACGTTCTATAACAACACGACATGAAGACAGGTATTTGTTAAACTTCCTTTGACTAGCATTTAAGTGTCCATTGTCTCTGTATGGGGTTAAGATCCATTTACGGATGGGGTAAGCAGCATCTGCAATGATGTGATTTTCTCCACACAAAATTGGACCATTTTGCCACAAATCAGAGTTTCTCAATATCCTGGCATCATGGCAGCTGCCGGGATAGCCAGTAAAGATGTGAGTAAACATCATGTTATCAGTGCAAACAGCTTGTACCTGCAGGGAAGCAAATCCCTTTCCGCCATTTGGACTTTTATAAACAAAATCATTTTTAAAAGGACCAAAATTAAAATCCGGAGCTATATTTTCTTTGTTGTTTTTTGCCCGTTCATCCACAATGTCTGATCTGTAATATTTCGATGCTATTAAATTTGAACACTTATCTTTCAACTTCTGTTATTCGATCTTTAATAAATAAAATTTTAATGAAAGAAATAATGCACTTTAAAAATCCGTAACAGTAAGTAATTATGTTTACTTTAATATATATAATTATAGGTATGTTATGTTTTCAATTTGACTTTAAAATGACACAGTATTACAATCCATGAACCCTAGAGTTTATCATTTAAGCTTTTTTATTCATTTTATTTATTTATTATTTTTCTTTGTTATGTTGTGTATTTAATCTTTGTTATGTTGTGTATTTAATCTTTTTGTTCCAATTAATCTGAGGAGATCCCCGCCAGGTACCACATCGAAGATGAAACTTAGGACTTTCAAACCCAAGAGCTGTTGTCGGACTTGAAAGCATTCTTGTTGAGAAATTGGATTACATGTATATACTTAAAGCTTAGTAACATCATTGTAATACAATGGAATACGAATCAGCTGTCATTTCAATTCTGTCAGAACAAGAGTGTATATTAAAAACTCTGTCAATGAATAAATAGATAAAGCAAAAAAACGAAACAAAGTTATAAATTATGTGCATATGACAAAAAAGTATCTTAAATTGTCTTTAGGTCTGAGAAGAGGCAGTAATACCCATACGTAATTCATGTTTTAATCTCGATTTCTTTAAACCTAAATGATTGGATCTGATCCCAAAGACCAATGATCAGAGTTCCTGACAGTTTGTGAGGACCAAACATTTTTTCCGTGTTCATCAACAGAGTGATGTGCTGAACCCCGGTGTCTGTTATAATCTCTATAATTTCTTTATCCCCGATATTATCTAACATGAAGTTGTCTTAGCAAACACATTGCTGCCGGTGCTAGGTGGCTTGGACGGTAGTTTGCACTTGACAGTACCGTACATGAACAGGCTCAATCAAACCGAGCCTGCAACTTTTTCAATTTTGACGTGTTTGGCTTTCTTTAGGGATTCTTGTTTCCTCTATTTATTGCCAAATCAGCGTTGTTTGTGCCGTGTGGAAGCTGTAGAAAGTCGCCCCGTACATTCAATCAGGGACGTTATATTTCAGATTCTTAAAAATCGTTCAGCAAGACATTATTGTTGTGTTTGTGGTATTTTAGTTTTAAGTTTTTGGCATTTTCTAGTTTGTGATTTCAATATTCCTACTTGAATATTGTTGAATCACCCTAAGGATATTTTGTCTGCTTTTTAACTTTGTCTTTTGACGTCTTATTTGTGATATGCAGGCTTCATAACACTCTGATCCCTTTCCAAAATTCATTTTGTTTAGTTCCGCCCATTTAGGACACACGCTTTTTATTATTTTTTTTACTTGGGGACAATACGCCGCTTTCCATGGAATAGCACTACTGTGTCACATTGACGGTTTCCATGATCACCGCCGTATGAACACATCTGCAGATGTTTCTAAATTCAAAATTTTACCATTTCATGTTTAAATATTGAATTCTGCTTAAGCCGGAGGGGCGTCCGTGGCAAGTGGTTAAGGCCGTTGACTTCAAACCATTTGCCCTTCACCGCTGTAGGTTCGAATCTCGACAGAGACTTTGGATTCATTCATATGAGGAAGCTATTCAGCTAGCTTACGGAACGTCGGTGGTTCTACTCAAGTGCCTCTTCGTGCCTGAAACAATGCACGGAAGGGTACCTGAGGTCATCCTCCACCAGTAAAGCTGGAACGTCGCCAAATGACCTATACTGTGACGGTCTGACGTAAAACCTAATCAAACAAACAAATAAACAGCTTAAGCCGGGGCTATTGGGTGTAGACGGTAGTTTGCACTTGACAGAATCGTCCCTGAACAGGCTCAATCAAACCGAGCCTGCAACATTTTCAAATTTGACGTTTTGGGCTTTATTTAGGGATCCTTATTTTCTCTATTTTATCAACAATTATCTTAAAGGACCAAGGATTTTGATAAACGGCATTATTTGTTTGCATAGAGTAACCGAAATTTGAAGCAGTATCCTCTTTCGATACTGCAACACCTCAGCACATCCGTTTTGCCTTTGGTTATACCTTCAAGTATATTGGCGTTTAGAAACTGGAGCTTCTTTACAAAAGAGAGGGTAGCGATAACCCGTTTATCATTTACTACTGCAATATGCCAACAAGCTGCATTATGTTTGATATTTTAGAAGCGTTCTATTACTCTAATTTCATGTACATATGAAATCAGCCGACGACACTTAAAGATTTTTGACTTACTGGCAATTATGCGTTTAAATGAAGTCACATTATGGTATTCGGGACTGGTTATCACGTGACATTTTCGATACGGTTATGTTGGGTCACCACTAATAGTGTTTTGTGTTAGTTTTTTCAATATGTCTTTTATTAACTGGATAATAAACATATACCATGTTCCATGGAAAAATGTGCCAATTCCAACGGTATATGTAATAGATATACCATTGCTGCGTTGACGATTTCTGGGTTTGCGTAAATTATACCATAATCACGTGACCTTTCTTATGCCTTGACCTCACGAGACGATTATACCATAATCACGTGACTTTTCTTATGCCTTGACCTCACGAGACGAAGTCGAGTGAGGTTGCATAAGAAAGGTCACGTGATTATGGTATAATTTACGCAAACCCAGAAATCGCCAACGCACCAATGGTGTATCTGTTTTAACCTATAGCTCCGCCCAGAAACACTTACTCCTTAGATCTTAATTTGCATAGCAGAAATGCCGTAAAATGAGCTGTCAATCGAAATAACATGACGCTACTGTTTTAACCTATTGCTCCGCCCAGAAAAACTGAAAATTATACCATAGTCTGGGTATGGTATAATTTACGGTTATTGGAAATTATAATTGGAAGAATTTTACATAAGAAGCGCTGAAGAGCTATAGGTTAAATATTTTTAATGTAGCTCTTGTACTGTTCCTGATAAGTAACTTGCGAAGCATATTTTCATTATTGTTTTCTCATAGAACATTTTAAAAAGAATTACGGGGAAAGTAAAAGAGTTACAATAAAAGGTTATATACCATGGGATTTGGCAAATATTTACCTCGAAGAAGGAATAACTATTCATATACAAACTATTAGCAAAGACATTAACAGTGGCCCATTTTAATGTAAAGAAATGTCACGTAAATTCCAACGCTGTGTATTGGTCGGTGCAGAGTAAGTATGATTTGTTTTACGGAATTAATGTATTTGTTCGTAGTTTAATACGATAGAACCGTTCAGCTATTTTATAGAAGGCTTCGTTTTTACAGCACCTGCATCATCTTTGATACTTTTAACAATGAAGTATTTTTAAACCATTATACCTAAAGAATTATTTTATTCATAATTCTCGAAAGTTGTTTTTACTCCTGGTGTTCTGTGATAGTTCCCCAAAAGTTACTTATTGGACAGTCACCTAAACTATCTTTTGCTTCTGTTGCTTTTTTGGCAATAACTACAGTTATATTGATTTGGTATTTCGTAAGTTGGTCAAAATACTACTTTGTTTACACTTTATTACTTTTATGACAAATAGTTTCACATTCAACGCTACTTTTTCAGGGAATAAGCATCTAAAAAGCTCAAAATTCATTATCAAAATGAAATTAAATACTTGTTTGCCCTTTCAATAGAGGGAACGTTTTAATCGTTTTTGAAGCATAACGTGTCTTAACGAATATTCAAAAAAGGGTGAAAATGCAACATATACACGTTTTTTATTTCAGGACTCCGGCTTCTGGACGAAGAGACCACACCATCTATAATGTCATGTAACATAGACGAAAATCATTTACAGTTTGAAGAGGAAAATGCTCACATACTTGCCGGGGAAGAAGAAGCTCTTTTTGCATGATTCTGTATTTATCTAGTATGTTACTGTTAATTATCTTAATGACTTTTTTGCAGTAAAAAGGTAAAATAGTGACAAAATTTTATAATCTTTGAGTAACGTTAAATACAATTTTGGTTGATACAACATTCAGGAAAAATACAGCGTTTTTTACAATTTTCAAAGAACTCCTCGTATGTTTGCGAAAACATATTGTAGAAAAATGTGGCCAATCAAATTATGAATTTAATGATGTAAATGATAACTTTATCCCTCTCAGATACCAAACAATTTTATGATAACTATTTCTCTTTAGGCCATGTGGCTGCTCCCGTTAATGAGAAAGAGAAAAGTCAACAGGTCAATCACCTTTTATAAGGCTTTTCTTTAATGAGCATAATCTTTGTTTATTTAGAATGAAAATAACTATAATCCCATTTTGCAATATTTCCAAAATATACATCAAGGAAAATGCCTAAAATGACATTCAGGCGCTTCTTTGAAATGTATATTTTGCATAATGATATTAAATCTGTCTAAATAATGCATTTAAATATCCAAACAAGTAAACCAAACACCACTTTCCATGCAAAATAATTGCAAATTAATACCTTAGAGAGTTAATTATCTACAATTCTGTTTATTATATTGCAATATGAAAAGCTATGACGATTGAATTTGATGTAGGATGATGCACATAAAAAAGCATATATATGAACACATCTGCGGATGTTTCGAAATTCAAAATGTCGTCAGTTCATTTTAAATGTTGAATTCTGTTTAAGCCAGTGCCTGGGCTCCTGCCACTAGTTCTTGTTGCTGAGTCGTATGGGGGTTGCGTTCATTGAACGCCGCCTTTTCTTGTTGATCTTGTTTATCATATTTCTTGCACTTTCCAGTACCGTCCATGAGCAGACTGGGTCAAACCGATCTGCAACATGTTCAATTTAGTTGGGCTGTCTTTATACTACATATGCTTCAATAAGTTTGTTTTTGTTGTTATGTGTACCTTTAAGTAATTTGCTATTTCTATTATGTTTTAAATATTTTAAAATGATTTTATTCCACGAAAAACATGCCTGGCATCATACAGATTGTTGCGATAGGAGAAGATACGTTCTTGTAGCATTATATTATTTTTTCTCACATTTATTCTTTCTTTCATAAGAAGATTAAATTATTCAAACATGGAAGTATGGCAGACAAATTATATCATGTTGGTCATTTTTGTCTTTTCCACTGGGAATAAAGTCGGAAATCTTCTATCTCTATCTCACAAACACAAATCTTACGTAAATACATCGACTGGATAAAGTAATAGATTGAAATTACAGGAGTTGTTTATGTATTATGAGTATGTAAACGGTGTGTAATTATGTAGATTTAACAGAGAATACAATGAACTTCAATTATTAATCAAGTATTTTGTTAGACATCTTAGGTAATGAGTCAATATTTTCTGCTTGAAGCTGTGGTTTCGGTGTCAGTTAAGAATAATGAACACGCACTGTAGTCACTGCGGTTTATTTTATTACTTCTAACACTTTTAACGGTTTCGCCAGTGTAAACATAGATGTATTTTGTCTCCCATATTCTTTGTTTCCTAAATAATTTAAATCCAATATTTTATAACTGTTTCTCTACATCTGAAACTATCTTATAATGTTTACCTTTATCCTATGCTGTGTAAGTAGTGTTGGTTATTATTCATCGGTAAGGTTTATATATAATGTAAAAGCAAAACTAAATTCAACGGCAATTTGTATATTATTTACTATTTTACTTGATTTTTACTAGACTTTATAATATGTACACTAATTGCCTTGTTTCTTTTACAAATCTTTCATAAGGCCAGCTTCGGAGAGTCTAGGATTTATTGAGGTCAGTGGAGGATCCGCACAAATAGCGTTCATTCCAGATGATCCAATTTATGCCGGGAAAATGCCAGCTACGATTGCTGAGAAGGAGTATGGATTATATTGCCATAGCTATTTATCATATGGCGCTACCTTAATGTCTGAAAGAATTACAGAGTTACTTATACAAGAAAATAAACACGAAAACGTTATCATCAATCCATGTATGCTTAAAGGTAGATCTTTAAAATATTTTCAATAAAGTTTTAAATGCACGGTTTTCTTAGCAACTTTCGCGATTACAATTTTTCGCGTTTTGTAAAGGATGACGTGTTCGCGGGGACGAAGTTTCGCGAAATTATAGCGGCCACGAACTTCGCGAATATTTCTTCGCTGTGGTGAAGAACATATATATTACTAGTATCAAAATTGTGTTTATCGCATATTTGTTCTCTCTGTACTCGCAAGCCAAGAATACAATATGTACCCATAGAGAAAGGCGCTAACTTAAAATAATTGGAATACAGTATTCACTTATTGGTTAAGCAGCATTGTATTATTTGTTTCTTCCCCGTATCAAAATCGTATCATCATAAATATACGTCGTAATGATACTTTATTTCCATGTTGAATAATTGAAAGTAAATATACCACTGATTTATTTTCAACTTAAGGTGATTCAAGAAATTGGACATTAGGGAATAAGATGGTGGCAATGATAGGAGGTGGAAATGCATCATTATGTGAATACTTACTTAAATATTACCTGGCTCCAGCCGACGCCGACATGTGTTCTCCAAAGCCTTGTTCAATTGGGCAGGTCTATCAACCGTCAGTCAAAAATCGAAAGTTCTTTACCTTTGGTCTCATTTACTACTTAGCGATGGACTTCAAAATTCTTACGAAACAGGAATTTTGAATCTTAAACAGATGCAAAATACGGTCAGGGAATATTGTGAAAAGGTATAATATTGTTTTTGTTTGGTAAATAGAACAGTTATATATCATTTTAAATGAGATTGCTACGAGTAACACATTTCTATTGATATGAAAAATGTAAGTAGCTGAATTCTTTTTCACTCATTGAAGAAAAATGAAATGGCTTTGATGTTTAACCATCTAAAGGGCTATAATTTTTATTTCTCAAAATATTGTTAAATTTGGTAGTGTGTTTTAGTTTCCAGCAAGTTACTCATGAGCCAATTGCCTGAACTGTTTTCTTGATCTTCTCTGTTGCTTTTGGGTAATAAGTACATTTTATAGTGATTAAATAGTATGTATGGCAGTCAAAACTATTTGTTTACACTTTGCTTCTTTTATAATATACCAATTAACATGAAACTTTATTGTCGTCAGGTAACAAGCATCTTACACGCTCTAAAACCATGATTTAAGGTTTTATAAACGTTACAAAACTTTTTTACCTTTCTAAAGAAGTAAATCTTTTTTCGTTTTGGAGGCATAAGGTGCCTTTAACATCAAACAATTTAGACAATATATTGTCATTTTTTTTAATTCTGTGAATAAGAAATTCTGCTTTACTGATACGAGGATATCAAATATCTAAAAATTAGAAATGATTACTTTGTGTATGAGGAAAATCCTCATTTGCTGATAAGGCGTTGACCTTAAGTTTAACAGCCGCTCATCAATTTATTAGATTTTTGTTAGTATTGATACGTGATAGATCTTCATTCGTTAGCAATTGTCTGGGATGAATTACTAATAGTTATCACGAATTCAAAGTGCCTAAACAACCAAATCTGTGAATGTTTTTGAAAGAAAGCAATTTAAAACAGAACAAGAAATATTAACAAGCGTTGTTTTTTTAACATACTCCACCTTATGAATCCTCATACAATCATTATCGTCTTACACGATTTTGCACGGCTTTTATCTTATAAAATGACTCAGACTCAGCAGAAGCTTTATTATTTTGGCTTTTGTTTAGTTTATTTGATGTGACATTATGCCTTTTCAAGTCTAAACGTTTGGAGAAAAGTTAAAAAGATGACATTATGCCTCTTCAAGTCTAAACGTAGGGAGAAAAGGTAAAAGGCAATACAAGTGTACATTTTGCCATATTTTTTCCAATTTCATATTCTACTTTTAATGAATATCCAATAACTTACGCAGCAAACGGGAATGTCTATAAATACCTTTCAAAAGTAGTGGGGGAGTTTAATAATTTAAGGTAGTTTGGTATTTTATCCTAAACAATTGTAATCATCAATTATTGGTCAATGAACATTAATATAGTCAGTCTTTTGAAATATATATCTAATGCAACTCACCCTCACAACGAAGAAATTAGCAAAATGTCACTTTAATAAATGCATTAAATGATTTTATTTAAGTGGTGATATATGTGTGTTTGAGTTATGGTGAATATAAAGAAGCAAGTTAGCATCAATGTGAAGTTGAATTTACATTTACTCATAATCCTTTTTATATAATTTGACAGAGCTACGAACATGCAACGACGGTGTTGGGAATGTCTGAAGAGTACGCCTCTAGAAACTGCCAGGACGGACTCTACATCCCATTGTTGTTCTCTGCAGTTGGTCTAGACATTGACAATGTTTTTGCAGCCAAAGACATGCAAGGTTCCTCAGTCGGTAACGTTTATTTCTTTTACATTTCTGATTATGACATCTCTGTATCGAATTAAGAAGCAACAGGTTGTCATACAAGTGTTCACCGATATAAAGTCAACTCAAGCGTATGATGGATGGTTCAATCTCGTTCTGCTAAATCTTTGACTTACAATTGAATAAGAAACGCTCCCTTGGGTGATGTAATTTTGAGTTTCGGGAAAACATTTTGAATGAACTGTACTTGAACATAGAAAGATGAACTTTTTGAATTTAGAAGTATTCGCAAAATAGCAACATTTACTTTCATTTTACCTTCTTATATATGGATAAAATCATCAAACTATTTGATTAACATTATCTTAAAAAAAAAATAAAATAATAATAATATTAAAAAAAAATGTTTGTTTTTCTACCCGCACACAAACATCAGTGCACCCAAAAATGTTATTTCAAATTTAAAAAAGATTATCTATATTATAATGTATATTATTATCATGGAAGCAGAGTCTTGTAAATATGGAATATGTAAATATGTCTGTACATTTAAATCGATATTTTCTTATTTATTTATTTTTTTGTTCTGTATTATGAAGGTGAAATATTTTATCTGCATTTGCAGCCAACTTCCCAAAATATTGGAAATATTTCGTTGCTTGTTTTCAATTCATAATCATGTACTACATTGTTTAAAGGGTATGTTAGACATACAAGTATATCACAAGTATTGTTTTATGTTTGATTTAGCATGGAGTCTTGGCGGAATACTGTATGAAGAAGAAAGAAACAGATATAGAAATACAGCTGTAGAAATTGTCTTCAAACACGGTTGACATGATTTAAAAATAAAAAACAACGTTTGTGCGTTAAATACTTTCTATGTTATATTTTATGAAACATTCTATGTTTAAACAGTTTTTATTTTTCTTCAAATGTTGCCTTTGTGGAAGAATATGTTAGCTTACTTAGTGTTTCTTTTTACATTTATTGACTTATCATAAATGCAATCTACATCTGGCAAGAAAAACAGTTTTATATTTGCTATCAACGGAAAAGAATTCCGGTCAAAATTGACAGTGAATAAGAGCATTTAATAAGGGAAGTGCATGAGTACATTCCTTGAAAGATCGGCGAATGTTCTTTCTTGATATATTTCGAAAATAAATGAGTTGATATCTTAAGTATTTAAAGCTCATACTATCCTACTGCAGTCTCCTGTTAAATATTACTATTGCATAACTGGAGTAAATTTTTGCTCTCCTCTTAAGTGCGTTTTGTTGTTGTTTGTGTCAAAATAGACAATCACTTAGGGAATATTTTGAAAGGAAACGAATGTTGTTAATACACATTTCATCAGAATGCATGTAAATTAATCTGTGAACTGATTTATAATTCAGTGTGTGTTAAGTTTACATAATTAGGTCAAAGTTTAAATGCAAATATGTTCCGCTACAAAAAAACCCTTTTGAAACACTAAACATATTTTACCGAAGACGTAAGAGGCCAAACGACTTAGCGGCTTAAAGTGTGTCTGGGCAGCTTAGCGTCGTGAAGTTTGCGAAAGTTAACCCTGTATGCAGTTTTAAAATACTGTTTTTCGAAAATCACTTTGAAAGAAGTTTCATAAAAGCTATAAGAACACATTAACAGAATCCAGCTGAAAATGATTTATTGCAGATAATGGCTACGTCTGTATGTAAAAATTCATTAAACAGCTCACAAATACAATGCGAAAAATTACACCTGAACCATAATCTCTTTTGTCAGAGCTGTCCTGTTAGCTCAATTGGCAAAACGTCGGAGTGTGAATCGGGATACCCGGGTTCGATTTTCGGACTGCACAGGTCACTTTTGTTTTGATTGATCATGAAAATCTTTTTATGGTCATTCGTACTGCTCTGGCATGCACAAAAGTTATTAGTTCTTTGCGAAAGTGAAGGCAACTAGTACAGGTAAACTGTTAGACAGCCTGACCAAAAACGATGCAAATTGAACTGAGCTCTGTTAAATACAATGTGGCATACTGCCTTCATCTGGACTGAAAATTTCAACCACCACCATGATTTCCGGTCAATACTAAAACAGGTGTTAGGTGTTCATATGATTTACATGCATACTTAATAAAAGTTACTTTAAGCCTTCATTTATGTGCCTAAGTGTATTAATAGTTTTGCATGACTAAATTCTTAGACCTGCTAATATGTTACACTTGACTTATCCCTATTTCTTTGTGTCATTACATAACAATAACAATCTTTTATCATTGCCGAGAAGTTCCGTGCAATTTCAATTTAAAAAATCGAATCATTTCATGAATCATAGCTATTTAGCTTTAGAAACCATTTGATAATGTGTCATTTACATAATGCTGAATTATATTTCCATTTTATTTTCTAACCTTAACTTTAAAAACAGCAATCATTAGCTTTCTTTTAGTTTAATTATTTTTTAGATTGCCAAAGTCACTAAAACGGTTGAAATAAAATTTTAATATTCTACAAAAACAACATATAAATGCTCGAGAAGTTGCATGTTATCGCACATTAATGTGATGTCATTTGTTTTGTATGGTATTGTTCATTATATAGTAGGCAAGATGTTTTAACGTGTGGAAAGCACTGTATAAACGTATCCCGAGAGTTTTTGGTTCGAGTCCCGACCAGGCTGCATATTTTTTCAAACCCTGTGACATTTGGGGACCAACAGGGACCGCGATGTAGTAGCGCGAATAATGTCCATTTTACATGTTTTCCCGATAAAATTCAATTTTTATAACATCGTAAAAATTTTCGGTAAAAACTCTGTTCCTCCGAAAGGGAAAAGATGTGTAAGTTGCCGGACCTCTCTATCGGACGGTATTCTGATGATTGAGTCCCGGTCAGGTGGCACAATTATTTTTACACCCTTAGTCATTTGTGCATTTTTTTTTAAAAAAAATCGGTTTTTTACTATGTTATAGCATTGACTATCACTGAAAAATCCTAGACTTAAGATTTTATTTCGACTAAAAACATTGAATTACTTTTGACGCGATATACATGTTACATGTTTTTAAGCCAATTTACCACCATATCTATTTCATACAGGCATTTGGAAGCATGCTTCTTTAGAATTCAAACAATATATTTTTGCAGCAGATATATAGCTTTATATACTTATATATAGGCTAAGTTAATTGTAATACAACAACAACAACAACAGAATCAAATTTGTCACAGTAACCATTCATGTGCTGTATGAGACATTCTTTTGTCATATTAAAGAATAACATTATTCCATCCTCTTAGGTATAAAAACGGTAAACTTTGTTGGAGATGACAGTGTAAAATTTCGAACAATTTCGTTGAAGAGTTAACGACTTGCGAAACAATCTATTCTACAATAAAAATAAATTACATTGTACTCTACAGAAAATCTGATTAAATATGTAAATGTGAGATCGTTAAATCTTATATAATCAGGATACCAGTGTTATTCTATGTGTAATATTTTAGATTATCTTCCTTTAAAATAGAGAAATTATTTTTAAATGAAGGACAAACGGACGTAGTTTTAAATTAAATTCAGTTTAAAGCAAGTCATATTTTTTATATTTCAACGACACTGCGAATGAATATCAAAAACTGCAGCCCACGAAACATGTAAGAAGTTAGTTTAAAACGTAAGTGATCGGATGTTGTCTATTAAATAACATTGTTCGTTAAATGTTTATAATAAACATGTAATCCAGAAATAACAGGATACTATAACATTTGTAATATCATCCAATGAATATTCAGAGCTATACAAAACATTATATGACTAAAACATATTTCAAGTACCACTCAACACGTTGATGAAAATCACATTTTATTCTCTTAAAAATTCTGCCAAATTCTATCGTTTTCATAATATTCATAAAAAATATAAAAAAACAACTTGTTATTCACTTTCATTAATTTCACCCATTTGACTAAATAGATATGGAAATATAAGGTTTAATTTGCTCTATATAAAAGAAATTGCCACTGTTCTGCTTAAATCTGTTATTTATAAAACAAAATTGTTAATTCTAACGTATCATTTCTATTCTGACACGATTTACAATTCTAATTATTTCATATTATACTCAAGGGTTTATCCATCACCGGAAAATTAAAACATATTTTTTTTGTTCAGGACATTATAAAGTTGCACTGAATCGTATATGTGAAGTTTACGGTAGTTTCAACATTTTATGTATTCCCCGAGGAAAGAAGTCGACGAGGCATTTATCCATCGCGTTTTGGAATAAGGCGTAAACAATTTCTGATCTACTCCATTTCATGCAAGAAAAAATCTCGAAATTTTTCCAGCATCGTAAGATAATTTAAGGGGGAAACTTTCAACAAGTGGTAATTGATGCCAGATATATTTGTAGTCTTCACTACGGCTGTTAGGCATTGTAAATGGTACCTATCGTTGAAAACATTCTAGGTCATTAAACATTTCATAGATTTGCTAAATTGTAAACCTGACTTCACATTAAAAGAAGCTTTAAAGTTAAATTTTCTTATCACGTGAACTCTTTTTTCCCCGACTAGTCTTCATTTAGAAAGTACAATACAAATGTATTGCCCATTTATGTACAATGAATGCACATATAGGCGGTTATATATATTTGTTACCAACCTTTATTTCTAACAAAGATTTGTCACTATTCTATACATTTTACATTAAAAAAAGAATATTGATTTCGGTAGGAAGTCCCAATTCATTTTTACATATTACTAAAACAAACAACATAACAAAAGTCTATCAATACATGAAACCTATTAAATAAAGTGAAATATGTGTTTGTAGTATTATTAAAATAGCATTATTTTACAGAAAACAAAACTTGTTTCTTTTAATGCTTTCGTGCATATTTATTGCACGCACATATGGGTATATCATAATACTATAATGAAAATATTAATGTCTTAGATCAGTGCATGTAGTGTACTTTAGCCGTAATATGCTTTGTACAAGAGTAGTTGTTGCACAGTTTGTCCATCGATATCTCCCACTGTAACAGTTATTGAGGTCATTAACATTTTGAGTTAACATCTACCGATCCTGTAATCAATTTACGTAATATTAAGATGATATACTTATTAAGATATTTCATTTAATAGATTAAATATTAAGTGTTTAAAACTATAATAGTTTTAACGGCGTAATTTTCGTTTGCATCGAAAACCAACAAAATAGAGAAAAAACAGGATCCCTAAAGAAATCCCAACACGGCAAAGTTGATAATAATGTAGACTCGGTTTGATTGAGCCTGTTCATTGTTCATAGACGGTACTTGAAAATGTAAGTTACCGCCCACGCTCCAAACCACCGGCTTAAACAGAATACAACATAAAACACGAAAATGGTAAAATTTTGAATTGGCGACATCAACAGAAACACTTTTAGTGGTGTCAATTACAGCTCTGTCATTCAAAGAGAAAGGAAAAAAATAATCTCTTAAAAATCCGTTCAATGCAATTATACCCCAGGCGATTTAAATGATAACAACAACCCTGCAATGCTCTTAAAAGCTGTGTAAGCAGACATATGATATTTGTCAACTGCCATCACGCCTGATTACATTCAAATCTTCAAAACTATTCAATTATTCATTGCTTTCAAATTCTCAGATGCTGTTCAAATACGTTAAAATTAACAAAATGTTTGACAGTGTCGCTGGTATCTTGTTTTATGTTTTGTTTATCTTATTTATCAGTTGCATAAAACTTTTCTTACAATTCTTTGTAAATTTGTTGTAATCAGAGTCTGAAAATTTAAAGTCTGAAAAATTAACGAAATTTAACGTTTTCGTAAACACTATTAGTTATTATGAACAAAAGTATGAGCATAACTTCCTTCCATTCACCTGTTACTCCACCATGTCTCATTATACAGCCACCGGGCTCAAAAGATTCAGAGCACTCCTTACAATAAAGCATACAGAAAGATTGTTGAAAAACATTGCAATGAACACTGATAGAATTCTTACTGATTTAAACCATTGTAATTATTACTCATTTTTTTTTCATTTAACATCCCATTAACGATTTTAATCAGTTTTGAGGTTATTTATTGTGATATGCATAAACATTTTAAATTGTAAAGGAACTCCAATAATTTTGGACATGAAGGAAATAGAAATATTTCACCAAGATATGTGCATCATCTGATGTAGGTCTGAACAAATAATGTGTGCACATAACTAAAAAAACATTGCAACATTTCTCATTCAAATCAGGCAAATGATCGCACAAAAAGACATCTAATTTAACTTTGAATATTTCTTTATTATCTTTGCAGATTTTCCATCTTAAGTGCTTTACTTGATCTATGTTAGCGCATCAAATTTGAAGTTTTTATATTTTTGGCCACAGTTGAGCTTCTTTAACAATATTTCAAAACAATTTTAGAAAGAATTTTGAGAGAGGCTGTGCTTAGTGAATGTTGTTCGCCTGTGTTTATATTTCTTTGCTTTCTTAAAAAAGACAATACACACGTGAAAGTGAAATTATTATCATTGTATTCATTGTTAAGCTAAGCCTAATTGATTTTACATTTCAACAGATTGAGTGTTACAATGGCGATTGGCCAACAAATGCTATTGGAATATGTTTAGTCTGCCTAAAATATACTGCCCCACTTTTTTATTGAACGTTAAAAGTTTAAGGTACATTCCGATGGATATTTACAGAAATTTCATTAAACAACTCAATTTAATATGATCTTTCATGCAAAGTGAATTATAATATTGAATAGAATTATAGCAAAATGTAAACTTATTTTGACTTTCACATGTTTACTCAATACTAAGTAAATAAGTATAGGCATAATGCCATTTTAAGTTTACATGCAAATAATTGAAAAGTAACGAGGAGTAAGAGGTTTCGAATTCATTAGTACTGCATACAAACATGTTTACATGCACCACAAATTGAATAAAACCAACTTCCGAAAAATACATTTTGTCCGAATTTAACTGATGGCTTTTCAGAATTATAATAATTATAATACTTAAAGTTGAATTTGTGAACTTGCACTTTATGACTCAGATGTCATTTTTGAAGTCAGATAAATAGTACTGTTATACTAGTAATAAAAATGTTAATGTCTTATGCTTATTTTACAAAAATGAATGAACTAAAAATCACTTTTATTGTTTAAATATATGACGAAAGTTTGATATAATGTCCATCTGACACAATACAGCACGTATTTTAAGTCGACGGGGCCTGTTGAATCAAGAAATTACTTCACAAATGCTGTAATACGCACTATTACAGTTATTGTCCAACCATTGTATACCACCACTATATCTGTAGCCAATTAAGCACAGTTCAGATGATCCATTAGATGGTTGATTGGTTTGCCACTTGAAGAATCCTTTCTGAGAACCGTACGTATACGCCCATGGAGAACTTACATCTTTCCTATACCCGTCTATCCATACATATGACCTAAACCCTTCCATAAGGTTCTTAACATCCTCGTATTTGATCTCAGAATCAATATTTACTAAGTGCCCATTGTCATCTTGACACTGCAATTCTGCTTCTTTCTTATTTCGTGTTTTGTCACTGAACAATTTAAGACAGAATCCGTTCTTGGTATCTATTCGGACAAAATCCTCCACATATTCCAAATTCTTTCTCTGTTTTCATGTTGGTAGTATCATTTTTGCATGTAGATAAGTCAAGACTGCATTGTCTTGTCCGGTACTTCGACCCAAAAAGATGAATGTTAGAACTGCATTTACTCCAGCTTGTCCACGGTAAACAAGGATTTAGATCGCATATTTTCCGTGCAGTTTCGTTCTCAAGTTTCTCTATACTACTTTCTATTTTTACTTCAATATTTTCTATTGCTTTGCCTATCATTCGTATATTTGGAAGTCTTAATTTCATCCCCATCTCTCTTAGCGTTTTTCCATTTAATTCACTTGGCTTAGTCCCATTGCTGTCAGTTATCGAAGCCCCTTCAATGCACAGTATACATAAATATACAACAAAAAGCCCACACCACATTAAACTAGCGTTTCCCATATCTTTACCACTTGTCTTTGCAAACTGGATTCCAATACTTCTTTACTTATACTTTGCACATATCAAGCACGAGCGTAGCTTGGGGCATTTTGGAACAAATCGTTTGAATGCTTTAAGAACGTTAGATATGATTATAATTAGTGAAGATTAGTAAAACTATTCATTAACCTATGCCTTCGCTGTATGATCCATAAAATACACGGAATAAAGTCAAATATGCAATGACATTAATGTAAAACAGCTCAAATAATGAATAAATACACTTGCTCACAATTACACATGCTGACTAACATTTCTGAGAAGGTTAATGACTGACTCGAGGTCAAATATTTTGGGATACGTGCGACACAAGTTGAAAATTAAATATATGTTCACCAATATTCAAAATAGCATATGAATATATTATAATGTGCGTAGAATTACCCTATTTTGAAATTAATTTATAAAATTATACTATGTCACAAATTTTATATCTTTAAGTTGAGATTTACTTCGAAGTTGTACAAGAAAAAATTCTACAAAAGTCAATTAAATTTAGTTAAAGTCCTACACTTACAATGCGATTTAACCTTAATTTTGTCAATTTATAGAATTGATATAAAAGTAAACATTTACATTATTTATATACTTTTTATAATGTTTGTAGAAACCGAAAGTACAAGATATCTACCGGTTGACATTAATTAAGATTTGTTTTAATTGTGTATTCGTGGGCATTTTTAAATTAGTTATCATTGTCAGACATATTTTCAATCATAATTGTACCGGAATAGACTTCATTTTCCTTTTGATGTTAAAAGTATACACTCGTTACACATAATCAAAGATTACACTGTTTACATCTAAAACTTGATGTAGAACCATTTTCAAACCGTATTAAGTCCGAGGTTATTATCAATACTAGACTTGATGTTCCGATTGTGTACATCTTGTCAGCAACTCATATAACTAACAGCATTAAGCCGTATTTTACGATATATTGTTTTAGTATATGTACTCAGCTGATCACCTCAGTACAAACGAGTCGTTTCTAAGAACGTTGTATTTTTTAAAGCCTTGCCGCTGCAAATGTACTTGCAAATCTTTGTCCTAGAGTCAGACAGCACTCGCGATGTATCTGCCCTATTGTTTTTGATAGTAATATTAAATAATTATCTATCTGCAGACAAACGTAGTGACTGTTCCGATATCATAACATTATTGTGGTCCAAAAATAGAAAATATTTGTTTGTTTTGCATGTAAAACCTAAATATATTTCATTGACTGGACACCAGATGCAATATTTTTACGAGTTGCAGAGCCACGTGTTAAAGTATAATAGCTGATGTTCACGAGTGAAATATATTTCAATGTTATATGCAAAAGAAAAAAAATTCTATTAATTTCATGCCTTTTGGTGATTTTAGCTCATTTTTACTTGTTTTGCCGGGTAACGTCATGCGTTCTTCTTCATGACGTCATCACATCATGACGTCACTGTACCAATGTTGAAATTTGAGTGAGACTAAAAAAGGATTGGAGCACCACACAAAAAACCGTATTTCAGTATATACCGGACAAGGCGCTTGAATGATAAAATGCTAAAATCTTGCCTTTTTACCAAACGGAATGAACGTTAAAAAATCTAATTCATAAAAATGTAATAATCAGCGGAAAAAACGATATTTTTCTATTTTATGATCATGAATTTTGCAAGTATCTAGAGGTACTGCTCCAATCCTGTAATGAGTTAAATCCTTGAAATTTAGTTCTGTTATATTTCTCGAACTTGGTTACATTTTTATCACAATTGATGCAGTCACATACTTGCTTCTTCTAAGGACACAAAATTTACATACGACAAAATTTATTCGTATTGATAATTCCATTAAGTTATGCAATATTATTTGCATGCGCATTCAAATATAATCCAGATACAGTAACAATTATCATATAAAATTTCACAGTGAAAATTATCAAATATAATTTCACTTTTCACTGCAAAGAATGCAACACGCTACACTCTTGTATCATTTGGGAATTAGTATGGCAAGTAGAAAAAAGTTAATTAGTTTAGATGAAAGATGTTAACTTTTGTTTATACTTTCCGTATATCTCACACGAGCCATATGGACAGACATTTTGTTTATAAGATTTTTTTCAGGAAAAGATTGATATTTTGTTGTTCTTTCACATTTAAAGGGTGATGAGTGAGATGCAAATGAAATTGTAAAAGACAGAATGTGATGTTTGGTGTAACAGCTTTTTTGCAATCATAAAGATAAGGGTTACAATAATAAGAATTAGCCAAGAACAATTAGAATCGTTTGATATAACGTTACCCTGTTTCTTCGTTTCTTAGCTTTTATCTTAACTCTTTAAAATGCTTACATGCCTCCAGATTCATGCTTACTTTCCTGAAATTAAAAAATAATAAAAGTGAAATATTGTGAAATGAACGAAGTCAGCGATTTACACAATATTTTTGCAAGCAACAGTTAGAACCCACGTTTATGACCAAATTAGGTCAAATAAACAAAAAATAGCCTTTAATTTGAAGTTTGGTAATAAATAATGCAAACTCAGTCTTTTATTCCACATAAAATGTTGATTATTTGACAAGAAGAAATCTTCTTTTTTTTCTTAACATTAAAGTACATTTTCTCAAGTTTTTTTTTTTCATGAAATATTTTTGCTCATATGGAGGCATCAGCTTTAAACGAATAACCTTTAAACTGTATCCTCAATGAACTTCGCCAAACACGTTCAAATTGACAGAACAAGATAATTTATAAACAAATTACAAACTGTTTAGTACTCATCATCTATCGTTTACACTAGCGCTTATCAAGGAACGTTTTTGATCCATTGACGAATACCATCAGAGGAAAATGGGATTTTTTGATTAGTTTCTATTAGAATTTTTTATGAATTGCAGTTTTGTGATTTCCGTTATATTATGAGATGTTTAGTTAATCGTTAATTAAATTGTCAATGATGCCAACTATGTTTCGCAGCTTTTCATAGTTACAACATCATAATCACTTTTTTGCTCTAGTGACTTTTTGTATCATTTGTATTGGTTCTACACTTTATTGGAAATGATAAATATTTCATATTCTCTGGGATTATTACATGTACATGTATCAAGACGAAAATTGACATCCTACTTGTAAGTGCAAAATATCATGTTTATATTTTTTCATTGGCGGATGTATAGCAATTTAATTACTTGTACATGCATGTCATAAATACTGTTTATAGGCTTTTAATACATATTTTTGATATCCGAGATATTTAATTAGAAACTTTATTTCCGAAATTTCTTTCGAATATTTAGGACTTAAAGGGACTCCACTGAGGTTTAAAAGCCTAAAACATAACATTTGAATTTCTTACATAAATAAGCTGGGGCACTTTTAACAGAAATGTATGCAAAGATAGTTAAGAGATATACTTTTTTAATTCAAAATCGTATTTTAATGTTTTTCTAAGCCCGCTTTGAGTGAAAAGGGTTAAGCCGCTTTTCATTATGTTTTTTTTTACAATTTGAATAATTATTCTGGAAAAACGAAGTGCGCGAATGATCTGAAATTTTGTACAAAGATAAGTGGTCTAAACCTACATCAAATGGTACATGTATCTGGAAAAATATTTTCAGCCCCATCATGTCATAAAAGCTCAATGGAGTCCCTTTAAGACGTGTGTACGCTAAGGTTTACTGAAAGATCATTTATATTCTTTTACTAGTGTTATGACCAATGGGATTCCATGATTCCAGTTCAAAATTTAGAATGACCAATGGAAATCTTACGATGTTTGATTTAAGTATTACTCCGCTAAATTTGTATGTGTTTTTTTCAATAAGGGGCTGACAAGTTTGGGAAATTTAAAAATAAAATCTGGTTTTATACAGGTTTAAAACATCACGGAGATTAACTGGACTCATTATGAGTTGGAAAATGTTCCAATCAATTCTTCAGCACGCATTGCCGGTATAGTAGAAGAACAACTAGTATAAATGTATCATACTTAATTCAAAATGATTGATTGAATATAAAACCCTCTCTGTGTCTGGGTGCCTCGTAGTCAAATATCAACATATAGTTTTGTTATTGTTGTTTTTAGGATGTACATAACTGTGTAGGAGATTTGACATTTAAATGAACAATAGTGTTTCATTATAAATGACCCCTAAAAATAGCCATTTCACACTTCTCTAGAATAAATCTGAAAATGTGACTAATAAGTTAACATCAGTTAAAGTATACAATGACCACGGGCATGATGTGTTGATGTGTTCTGACACGCATTTTTAACGTCATTTTTTCACAATTGTGAATTATTCTGCTTGTTGTTTCTTTTTTTTATTTTACTCCGGTGTCCGAGTAAAAATTATTCAACTCAATTCAATATTTCATTTGATATTAAACTACATATAGCCATTATAACATAATATAAGTAAAGTGTAAGACATGTTTACAATAAATTGATCATGATACAGTACAGAATGTTTTCAGAGAAGTTCTTTACAATAGATCTTCACCTAGATTAAGCATTAAATATATCATAGTTGGTACCATTGACAATATATATAAATCTCCCAGAAGTTAGCAAGACCTATAGTTTAATAACAATTAAATTTGTAGTCCAAATGTAAATTGTTGTGTTAAACATGAAAATTTTTAATCATATTTGGTACCACATCCAAGATGAACCATATGACTTTCATATCATTCTTGTTAAAACATTGGATTGCATGTATATACTTAGCTTAGTAACATCATACCACTTTCGGGGCATATTTCAGGCTAACTTTTTCTCTTAAAGATCCTGTAACGCATTTTTTTATAGTTTTTTTATCATAAATATAATGCTCAAATGATGA